TTCTGCATTTTATTTATGTCCTTGGTACGGGCTATTGTGCCACGGTATTATGTTTTTTAGCGGTGAGACTGCAATGTTTTGATGTGACCCAGTTGTGGGTGTACAGAAATTCACCAGCTCAGCTGTCGTGATTTAATTACAATGAAATGATGATTGATGAAACTGGTATCTCAGCTATGAGCGGCAATAAAAGCTATATGTTTCAGGGTGTTTATAGGGCCACAGTGCTAGTGCATTGTTCTGCTGGTAACATGTCCTTAAACTTCGAATAATGCTTGAGCTCTTGATTCCAATGTTTTATTGTCTTTCCCTGGCAGGATTTGAACACCCTGTCCTAATGAAACCCTGTACTGAGAAAATACTTGGGCTGTCACTGCTGAGCTTTGCTCTGAAAATCCTAATTGCCTGGCTGTATTGTCAATAGCATACCATGGGTCTGATTATTTTAAAGGCTATGTGCACATGACTGTGCGCCATCCTGGCGTGAAAAAGCCAAACCTATGCTCATGGAATTTGATATTACTTTTACTACTAATTCACTAACAAGGGTAGCTTGCTATGCAGTGTACACTCTAGTGTTGTGGTTTTAAAAAAATGGTTTTCTCTACATTTTTGGGTCTGGTAGGAGAGGAAGAAGCAGCATAAGGAGCCAATCATTGTATGTGCTCACAAGATTTTTCCTGATTGGAGGAGAAAGCAGAGTGACAGAGAGATGAGCTCAAGTCCAGTAAAGAGGCCGAGGTCAGGGGGCAGGCAGCAATCAGGGGTGGTCAGGAACAATCCGGGTCAAGCACAGGCAACAGGTAATCACAATCAATCAGAGTAACTGGCACAAAGGGACATGCTGAAGCTCATCCAGCAACTAAGGGTATGGCAGGCTTGTTTAAATAGACCAATCCAATAGAGGGAGAAGCATCACTTCCTGTGTGATCGACGTGCGCATGTTTTCGCATGCACATCCTGTTGCACCTGCATGCGCACAAGCGCATGTTTCCCAGTCACATGGAAAACATGGCCATCCGCAGAAGCAGTCGTTACCTTACATCATCTGATTTGCTAATCAGCAGGCTTGTTCCAGGTCAGTGACTCAGAAAGCACTGTGGCGGGATGCAGCCAGGCAGACAGTATTCTAAGAAACTGGTCAGCCATCAGTGCAAGTTTCTTTTGAAGCTGAGCTTGAGGCAAACAGTTAAATAAACAATTGAAATACATGTCTGTGCTGTAGTCACCGTAGGATGCTTACATATGCTATCTCTTCACTCTACTGCAAGTGAAATCTGCCACTAGCGATCTCAAAACTCCCATAAACCTTCTTAAAGCCAAATCCTGCACATGACTATAAATGCTCCCCAGCCCTTTGTGACAGTACTCGGGCCTGAAGACTGGCCGTTCAGGCTCTAAGCACTGAGTTGCAGGAGCGAGAGGGGGACTGTCATGTGTTTTTTTCTTACCTAGGCATTTTGGGCACTTTTCAGGGCTCTAGAGCAAACCCCAGCAGCAGAAGGGTGAGGGATAAAGTATGCACCGTATAGTGCCTGTTTGGCTATCAAAAGCTAAAGCCTTTTTTTAGTGTAGGGAATGCTCAGTTTTTTTGGTGCGTGTGTCCAATTGGGGAGCATTTCCTTCACTTCCTCTCTTAAGATACAACAGGACGTCATAGGAGATCTCTCCCAAGTGAAATCCTCAAGACAAACCCTCTCTCAAGCAGTTGTAACTGTGACAAGCGTCTCCTTTGGACGATTTCCCATCTATTCTTGGTCCATTGACAAAATAAACATTTCAGATCATCCCTCAGTTTTAGGCTCTAGGTGAATTGCACGAGCTGGACACATAGGTTGCAGAGATGGACTCCTGGTGATTCCTGTTTTTCCCTAAACCATCTTGCTGCCGTCTTATATGAACTTTGGATGTTTGTGCTGCCAATACAAAATGCTGTCAGCTGAAGTAACTTTGGAACCTTGGCAATTCTTCTATGATTCAATTGCCATTAGGATATTGACTGCCTTATGGATGGACTACAATTCCTGAGAACATATATTTTTTATATGCCAGCACTTGTATTTTCTGGACATTTACATCAATATTGACTTACACATGTGCGTGCGCAGAAATGTTGTAAATTAATCAGTGGATAGCCATTCAAGTTCCAAAATGGGCAGTATGGTGGCATATTGGTTAGCACTTCTACTTTACAGCACTGGGGTCCCAAGTTTAAATCCCAACCAGATCTCTGCCTGAATGGAGTTTGGATGTTCTTCTTATGTGCGTTTCCTCCAGGTACTCATGTTTTCCCCCCAGAAATGATGGTAATTTAAATGACTTCTATCTAAATTGGACCTGGTGTGTGTGTGTGTATGTGAAATAGGGACCTTAGACCTTGAGGGCAGGGACTCATGTGAACTTACAATATGTAAAGCACTATGTAAATTATTGGCACTGTATAAATATCTATATAATACATATTACAATCCCAGGGGACTTATGAACATTTCTTTTGTTATGGTACTATTTCTACATTTATCTCTATGGATGTTCACAGAAATGCACACGCTGTAAAGTGTGTATGGTAAGGTGTGTTGGACAGTGATAAATCTAACATGATTAGAAGCAAAACTATATAATGATGATTGTATCGATGACCATTATATTCAACAATGCTGGATCTGACATATCATTAAGAATCCTTATATTAATCAATGTTTACAAGAGCAATGAGCAACTGTTTCCAGAGAGAAACTCTGAGCATTCATTCAACATCCGATGTGCCGATCAACATTACCTTGACATATTATACTCCTGTAGGAATACTGAACACTATGGTAGTCTAAGGAAATCTTGCAATGTCCTATCCTTTTGGTTGGACTACAAATAGTACAAATACAATAGCAGTGGGAAAATAGTGCAATGTATAACTAGATACATGTTTTATATTGAATAACTGAATATATTCTTTACAACTGTTGTTGTTGTTGTGAGGATTTTGATCTTTCTAAATTGCTATTTGGTGTTTTAATATTATACTCATTACTGATATAGGAAAGCAGGCAACACATATAACCGCATATAACGAGGAACTGGACTCATAACTCTATTTAGGTTTCTTTTCTGTAAGGCTTCATGTACATGGGTGCATGAGACCATATACCGTAATTGCGGGCATATTTCCGCACCCGGGTTACGCAGCTTATGTGTACATCTGCCCATAGTAGTGAATGGGTGTAAGTGGCTATTTGCGGGTTTACACCACTACTTGTGTAAACTCTTGAATTTGTAAACTCTGGACAGAGACTACCTGTGTCAAGGGCCATACAGCTTTATGTATGCAGTGTAAATGAGTGTAAAGCTGCCTACACCCATTCGCTGCTGTAGGCAGCAGCACATCCCAGATGCAGAAAAATGCCCACAATTCATGGTGTACGGCCTCATGCGCCTGTGTGCTTGAGACCTAGAGTTTAATTTGTTTAAAATGTTCTCTATTGTATAATATGTTCTCAAGAGGTTAAAAGATTGCTGTGCCCTTGTAAAACCCTGTCAGAAGTTAAACTCTTCCTTTCGCTATTCATTTTTTTTGGTTAAAATTGGCTTTAAATACAGTTTAGGAAATGCAGCTTGGTCACTAGCTCACCTGAATCTGCTGACTGGTCAATGATGGAACTGTAGTCCACTGATAAGGTCAACTCTCTGCTCTTTCCCTCCCGTAAGCATGTTCAAAAAAGGAGAGTGAGGGTACTGCACAATGTACAACAGAATGATTGGCTAAGAGTAATGCCCCTTCCTCTCCCAGTGCTGCTGTACATTGGATTATAAATGGCTAAAATATCGAGACAGGTTCAGGTATTTATTTTAGTTACCTATATTAGTTCTGTGCAAAAATACTTTGTTTCAAAGCTGCAGTTTACTTGTTTTCTTTTGAGGAGGAGGATTAGTAAAGCACCAAACACATTAGATATGTGTAATGGTGTACCATTGCATAGTATGCTCAGTGGCGCTGTGAGAGCCTGGAGTGAATGGAGTCTGTAACCTGCTAGTCTGAAAAATTGCACCGCTGGCCCACACCCTCAGCTCGCTCCACTATTTACAGGGCTCGTATTACAATGCATCAAGCTCTGTGAATGGAGGGGGAGCAGTTGAATGACAGAATCTTCACTGCTCATTGATAGAAGTTGATGCAATGTGGGATGATAGTAATAAGAGGTATGTGCATAATGGAGAGGGCAGAGTGTTGAAGGACAGCCACTGAGTATAATATCTGGTGTCTGTGAAGGGGGCAGTGAGATGGAGAGTGTTACAAGAAGAGGCAGCTGCAGGTAAGGTAATAGACACTATTACACATAACTAATGTGTTTGGTGCTGTATCCCCAAAAAAGTAAACATAAAGCCCATCTCTGTGCAAAAAAAAGGACTCTTGCAGTAGGGCAACCCCCGTACTTCAAGAGTTAAGTGCTTGTTTTTGACGAGATTACTGGAGTAAAGCAGTTCTATTTAACTGATCCCGCTGGTTAACTCCAGGCTGCTAGACCGGTCCCCACGGCCTCTTTCCCCTTGGGCTCCGGCCGTCTGAGGACTGCTGACGCCATCATATTTAATGCAGGTTCCATAGACATGCTTTAGATGTGAGGGTGCAGAGAGACAGTCCAAGAGTCGGAGAAAAGACGGATAAGAGGACAGTGATGACCGGAATGGGAGCTGGGATCAGCTAAATAAATTTCCTTTACTACAGCTCCTACAAAAAAATCAAGCACTTAACCCTTGTAGTGTGGGGGTAGCCCCTTTGCCTGGAGATGGGCTTTCAGCTTTAAAAGATACATACCTGAATTAAAAGGTGTTTCTGAAACTCTGTCTGGAGTTCACCGTTAATGTTATTCAGATGGGTGGCATTCAAAGTTAAAGTCTGCAAAGACATTCCACTCCCACTGTATTTCCTGTGCTATACCACATGATGAAACAGCTCCTGGTATAGTTAATCGTATATATGACAAGAGCTTCTCAGAGGACAAGCTTTTATTACAAAACATCTGGGTGGTTTACAAAAATTATATATAAAAATCTAGAAAAAACATCTTGTAGTTCTGTGGGAATTAGAAATGGTTTTGAGGTTGTTACTGTCCAAGGTGGTTTAAAGAAGAAAGTGTTGGGGGGGACTGATCGTGTTGTGAGAATAATATGGAGCGGATGAAAGGGGGGGGGGGGATCAGAAACTTCATCCAGCTCATTTCCATGGAAACAAGTCTGTTACAGCGATCCATCAGCAGATGAGAGGGTAAAGAAACAGCCACATTGTAACCTCTCTCAGTGAATCAGCTTTTAACCGTCTGATGGCCGATGGGGCTTCCGGCAACTCCACATCCAAATGGCCTCTTCATCCTTATGACAGAAAACACATACAAACACTAAATAAATCATCTGGGCAATCAATAATTTATTGCATGCTCATCTAAAAGCAGCAAAAACCACCCTGGGTACTTTGAGAGATCAAATGCTCCCGTTTTCTTCAACAAGTCATTTTTATGATGGTTTTGAGATTGGAGGCTCTTGCGAACAAGTTACGCATCTCAAGAAGAGAGACGCCTGGGGCACAGATATAGGACATAGTGAAAGACGTTTAGGTAGACCTACTTTTTGCCAGTGATAGCAAAGTAGGGAAATCATCTTAGGAATATAATAATGGTCAAATCATTTTCAGCTAACTGTACGTTGTCTCTTGCTGGATAAAAAATATTGGAAATTAGGGTTGCTCCTAACCAAATCTCTGCCTTTACAGTATAGGTGTAACTTTGTAAGAAAATAAAAAAAAACCCTTGTACAGGTTTCCCCAACCTCATCCTATCTATTAGAGTCAAGGACAGACCCCCTTTAAACTGTCCACTTTCCCTGTTGCGCTGGGTTGTATTTACATTAGCATGCAATGTGCAGGTGGGACTCTCAGGTTCATAGAGATAAAAGGGAGAGCCAAGCTAGAGAGCAGGACAGCGATCTGAGGTCTGATTTCGGGTATACTAGACACCAATATCTAAACCTGTACAGAATTTTTTATTCAGAGCTGCCCATTATTTAAAATTATAAGTCCACTTAAAGGTAATAATCCACTTCTGGAGGATGTCAGAAGGTTAAATCAATATCCCACAAAAAAAATGAAACATTAAAATTGTATAATTATATTTTCCAAATAAACAGTATACCCAGAGCGTCCCAATTTTTAATAAAGGTAGTTAATTGTTTTGTTCAATTCCATCCATAGAGCAGAACCACAACCTATGGCTTTAGAAAAGGAAAACACACATTTGAGTGACTGCTATGGACAACATCACAACCTTTCCATTTTAGTAGTGTTATAAAGATGTAATTATTTATTAATATGGTGGACCCTTGTCTTCTCTTCCTCCACAACTGCCCCACTTTTCGGCCTGATGCAAATATTTGAGTAGTGAATTGTACTATTCAAAATGTAATCTAAGCCAAAAATAGGAAAGGGTTATAACCCCTTGCAGGTTTTGTAGAGTTGGTATTCATGGAAGACGTAGTGCCCCATTGTCGATGTCAGTGGAACTCATATTAGGGACACATACTATCACATCAATGGTGTCGGTGGGAGAATTATTGCCCCATCATTGGTGTCAATGAAAAGAATTATGCCCTATCATTGGTGTCATTGGGAGGAATAGTGCCCCATCATTGGTATCAGTGAGATTAATAGTGCCCCATTGATTGCGTCACTGGGAGGAATACAGCCCCATCGTAGGAGTCAGTGGAAGGAATAGTGCCCCAGCGTTGATGTCAGGGGGAAGAAATAGTTCTCCATTGATGGTGTCAGCGGGAGGATTAGTGCCCCATTGATGGTGTCATTAGGGAGAATCATGTCCCATCATTGGCGTCAGCGGAAGATATAGTGCCTCAGCATTGGTGTCAGTGGAAGGAATAGTGCCCCATTGTAGATGTCAGTGGGAGGAATAGTGCCCAGTTGAAGATGTCAGTGGTAGGAATAGTGCCACATTGATGGCATCACTGGGAGTAATAGTGCTCCATCATGAGGTATTAATGGGAAGAACTGTGTCCCATCACTGGTGTCAGTGGAAGGAATAGTGCCTCAGCATTGGCATCAGTGAGAGAAATAGTGCCCCATTGATGATGTCAATGGGAAGAATTTTGCCCCATAATTGGCGGCAGTGGGAGGAATAGTGCCCCGGGGCCAGTTACAGGCAAGTGAAGGGCTGCATCAGGCCCATGCTCTGCACTTTGAAGACCACTGCTCTAGATTTGTCCAACCACAGTATCACTGTATAGTTAATTTTCCTATATCTGTATAAAGGAAAAAATAACAGTTGGCATATTTTTTTTTACTTTTTGGTATATTACATTTTCAAAAAGACTATTGTAAGCATCTTTTCTTCAAGAACTCTTCACGGTCTGCCAGATTGGAGGTGTGGCAAGGATGTGTCTTTGGTTTTAATATAACTGCATTAATCAATGTCTCCCTTTCCTATCTCAAGGAGTTATTAGAGCACATTATAATCACTTCTAACCACTAAGAGAGAATAAAGGAAGGTATTATTGCAGAAGTGCAGTTAGAGTATTGCAGCCAAGATAGTGGAAACTGTGCCAAATGGTCAGTTGTATCAGTCTAATCTTGATGGATGCTACTATACTGTATACAGGATGTCTGCTTCTTCTTTTTTTGTTTTTGTTAAAGAACACCAGGCAATCAATTTTTCTTAGTTTTGAGTAGAGTGGGGAAGGGATAATGTTTAATGATTTTTGAGTCCCTGTTAGAGAAATTCTGAGTACTTTGTGTCCTGGTGACCCCATTGGAAGTGACGGAAATCACCCCATAAAAAAACGGGGACAGCAGTAAAATCCAGGTAGAGGTTCTTTCTAACCCTTCTCCAGTCTACTGCAGAAGAGTTTGGATAAAGTTACAAGTTAACCTGTGGCCAAGAAATGGAAATTCACATATTCTTAACAAGCAGTAAATTAGTTTGCATACAAGCCTCACTGACCTCTGTAACTCCAGGCACTGTGAAGCTATTCCTCGTGGCAGAATCCCTGAAGTATTCTGAATGGTTCTCTCAGCATTTTAGCTTTCTCTGCTCCCAAATCTCAGCGGTGTCTCAGCAGCTCAGCTCATCCTCCTCTCCTTTCCCAGCAGGGGCATCCTTCCAATCACCAATGAAAACATAAGGGGTTATTCACAAAAGAGCCGAGGGATCCAGCCGTAGCTCTCTTTGGCTCCCGGAGCCCTTCAGTTCAGTCGAACCGAAGGGGTGCTGTACGGGCTATAGTGATGCAGAAGGCGGCCGAGTGGCTCGGCCAAGCCAACGGCATATGCTTTGGCTCGACTGAGCCGAAGTGACACCTAAAGCGAGGCGAACGGCCTGCCGAAGGCCACCCGCAAGCCGCGCAAATGACAGCTGGGCGGAGCCAGCCATGATCTCTCGGCTGGCTCCGCCCAGTAGAAATGACAGATCCGCATCCCCAAATGACCTGGGGATGCTGATCTGTCATTAAACAATAACAATTGGGTGGAGCTGGCCGTGACATCATGGCTGGCACCGCCCAGTTGTTACTCAATTATTTTTAAAACTCTTTTAATTGATTTTCTATTCTACTCGGTATCACGGAGGTACTGAGCAGAATAGCCGAACCGAACAGCAGCAAGTGATCTGCTGGAGCTTCAGCTCAGCCGATCCAGATGTTGAAGTCCTTCTGCACTTGAGCTCAGTCGAACATGCAGAGTATGTGCGGCTGACCAAAGTGCAGCCAAAGGCAGCCGATGTACGTTTGATTTAAGCCGATCTAAGGCTGAAATCAGCTGTACAAGCCAGAAGTGGCTTGTACTTCACTCGGCTTCACTTCGGCTGGATTATTCACTCACACTTTGTAAATAACCCCCATAGATATGGTGCTATGGGAGGGGAAGCTGAACTGCTGAGAGAACAACTTCCTGATTCTGGGCAAAAAAACAAAAACAAAACAAAAACAGCTGGCCAAGAAAAATCAATTTTTACTTACCTAAAGGCACAGTCACATGACATTCAGGTCCCAAGTGTCCTCTTCACTAACGATAACATCTAGAGGGTTCCTTCTTTGGTTGTCAACGTCACTGCCTGCTTAATGTGGACACTTCTTATTGCTGGCTGCAACACTTTCAGCAGCGGGGTACTCTAACGTCACTTAAGAGATAAAAGAACTACATGGGAGGGAGCTCCAAAGAGATGAGTAGGGAAAAGTGCCCGGTCCACAGGGTAGAAAATAAGGTTTGCATATACAGGAAACTGTGACTTTTGAATGCTTGCTAAGAGTTGGACTTTAAAAATGGATTGCACCACAGTGCTTGCAGCTACAACGGTCAGTGAAGGATGTAAAGCTAATTTACCTTGTTAAGAATTCAGTATTTTGTTTTCTGGCTCAGTGCTGCAAGCTGTTATGCTATGTCATCAGCTAACTGCAAATGGATTCTATAGATTCTAAGGTTGCCATACACATCTCAGTATTTTGAGACTCACTGCACCATGTTGTGAATGCAGCCATGTATAGTGATGGCAAACCCTTCTGGGCATCCTCAGGCAAAACGATCCTTGCCACGACTTGCACAGGTTTTTTTTGATTGATTGACAGCCTCTTGCTGCTAATAGATTACACACATGTCAACACAGTTCAGATTTAATGCATCCAGGCCACTGTGAAAAGCATTAACATCTGTAACAGGAAGAAACATTCAGATAAACTGTACAGGGAAATCTCTGTTTCAAGGAAGCGTAACCAAGCGTAACCAAGCATAGCTTTCATTGTATGGAAGTTTACAGTGTGCTGTGCAACAGGAACCTGTGAGATTGAAGAGAACCTCGAATCTGAGATATTTAGGGGGTTATTCACAAAGCTGCCAAAGGCAGCCGAGTGAATAGCCCAGCCGAAGTGAAGATCCTTCAGTTAGCCGAACATGCTCTGCACAACATCTGGATCGGCTGAGCGGAAGCTCCAGCAGCTCACTTGCTGCTTTTCGCCCCATATTCTCATAGGGGCTAAACGGCAGTGAGTGAATAGGCAAATGCCGCCAAACAAATGTTTAATTTTCTTTAAAAACATTTTTTTAAAGATTGGAAAAAAACCAACAATAAATGTAAAAAAAAACAAAAAACGACTGTTTACTATTGGCCGGCCTGCCAGCCAGCCAGCCTCTTCTAGACTAAAACAACTAGTGGCCATCATGTAGCATTACAACACTACATTCAAACTGGGAAAAGCTGCATCTAGTGGTCATAATGCAGTATTACAACACTCCATCTGACCTGGGAAAAGCTGCATCTAGTGGTCATCATGTAGCATTACAACACTACATCCCACCTGGGAAAAGCTGCCTCTAGTGGCCATAATGCAGTATTACAATACTACATTCAAACAAGGAAAAGCTGCATCTAGTGGTCATAATGCAGTATTACAACACTCCATCTGACCTGGGAAAAGCTGCATCTAGTGGCAATAATGCAGTATTACAACACTCCATCTGACCTGGGAAATGCTGCATCTAGTGGTCATAATGCAGTATTACAACACTCCATCTGACCTGGGAAATGCTGCATCTAGTGACTATAATGCAGTATTACAACACTACATCTGACCTGGGAAATGCTGCATCTAGTGACCATAATGCAGTATTACAAACACTTCATCTGACCTGGGAAATGCTGCATCTAGTGGTTATAATGCAGTATTACAACACTCCATCTGACCTGGGAAATGCTGCATCTAGTGACTATAATGCAGTATTACAACACTCCATCTGACCTGGGAAAAGCTGCATCTAGTGGCCATAATGCAGTATTACAACACTCCATCTGACCTGGGAAATGCTGCATCTAGTGGTCATAATGCAGTATTACAACACTACATGCCAGCTGGGAAAAAATTTATTAAGAACATTCATTGTTCCCATTATTTGCCCAAAGCAAACGTTCACAGATATTCACAGGGCAAAGGCCTCTATGAATTGTTTACAAATAGTCCTCTTACAGTCTGTGGGTGCCTAAAGGGATACTAGCACTGTAGCTTTTTTTATTATAGCACTAAGCCTGATCAGTGATTAAAGTGAAGGCAGATCCTTCCACTTAACTGTCAGTTTATAAAAAAGGACAGGCAGTACCTCAATACTGTATCTACAGAACAGAAGCAGGCAAGGATCAACCAATAAAGTTTGCTATTATCTTTGGAATATCAGTAGTTGACCTGGATCGGATGGTTTCTGGAATTCCATTTTAAGAGCCTGTACAAACACAAGTTAGGCAGTAGATTTTAATAATAAAGTTGACTTTGTTTTCGCTTCTCTGCCTCTCAGTATCAATTTTTCTGCAAAGGTTTAAAAGGTGCAGTTACGCTTTGAAATAAAAGGCAAAAATAAAAATAAACCCCAGTTGACTATGTTGTTCTTTAATCTCTTCACTGTTCATGACCATGGGGTAGAACATTTTAGTATATAAGGAATTATTATGCTGCCTTTTTGAAAAATGTATTATGTGGGCGGTTTATAAATAAAACATGTAATACCAAAACAAAATACACAAATACTGACGAGGACTCAGAAGTCATTTGCAAGATGATTGCCCAGCAACCATTTTGTCCGCATTTTGTCTGCAAGTTTCACCCCCAATTCAAACAATCTTATGGTAAGATGTCAGAAAAAGGGGAGGTTTCTGGATAGTACAGCTCTCAAGGCAACAACTATCTAGCACTGATCTATGAACAAAAAGTAGCACATAAATCACAGTATTAAAAGACAATGCCAAATCAGAGTAGGAGAAAAACCATTGTACCCCCTTCACCCCAAGCCGAGTGGCTCTTTAAATTTAGTGTGATTATTTGGCCATTTCTAGGGGTTCTGCTATGTCTGCACCTACCTGTAGTGGGCTATAACCAGGGCCGGATTTACTCTCCCTGCTGCCCCATGGCCAGGTTCCACAATGCGCCCCCCTCCCCGCAACCCCCCAATGGAGAATGGCAACCAGATGGTTAGTTTTAATTTTTTTATATTGTTTCGTTATTTTTTTTACTTTTCTATCACTTTATGTTTTTAATTTTTATTTATTTATTTACTTTTTCAAGTTTTTGTTTTACTTATCTTTTATTTTACTTTTTAATCACCTTTTAATTTTTTAAATTTAATTATTATTTTTTACTTATTTTTTTATTTTTATTTATTTAACTTTTTTGATCATTTTGTTTTTTGTTAACTTAAAGTGACATTAAAGGCAAAGAAAAAATTCCCTCCCCCCCCATGTTAATGTTAGCACTTACCTTAAATTATGTCTCTTTTATGAGATCTTCCTCTTCTTTCCTGATGTTTTCAGCCTTCTCTCCAGCGGTGCGGCGGCTCTCTGATCCAGCGCTGACTGCTCTGTCCCTCCGATCCAGTGGTGTCTGCATGTGGGTGCACGCGTCAATAGACTTACCTTGCGTCCCTCATCGCGTCCCGGACGAAAATGAGAACTGCGCAGGCGCCCGCCCCAAGATCCTTTGCGGCCGCTCGAGAAATTTCTAATTTTCGCACGGGAGCGCGCACGGAACACAGATGAGTCTAAACTGCTGTTTGAGCGTTTTGTTTTTTTAAAAAACTTTTTGCATATATCTACTGCTTGCTAGCAGTAGATATATGCAAAAAAGCGGGAGGGTTTAAATAGCCTTTAACTTTATTGCTACCAAGCAGGAGCTAAGAAGCCCCTGTGTGATAGCATTTGGAGGTGATGGGTTCTCTGTATTGAACCTGTCACCTCCAATACAGGAGTTCTAGCACAGCACTTTCTCGGAACTCCTGTGAACGCTGAGAGGGGAAGGTTGTGAGTGCAGCTCTCCCCTCTCACTGTTTACACAGAGCAGAGCGGAGAATGGCCGGGAAGGATGGAGCCGGGAGGAGAAAGGTAGGCTCTCTATGGTGGCCTCTGCAGGTTCTCAGGTGGGCTGGCCACACCCCTGCACACCTCTTACCTGTTAGCCCCCTCCACCGTTGGGCCCCACCTCTTCCTCCGCTGTGGACACCGAGTCCTGCCTCTTCCTCCACTGCAGATGCCGGGCCCCACCTCCTCCTCCATTGCCGACGCCGGGCCAAGCCTCCTCCTCTGCAGCTGCTGGCTGTCAGTGACTCAGCAGCGGCTGTGAGGAGCGCACCACTGCACAGATCACTGATAGGCTGCCCCTTTGTTCCTCATCCTGGCCAGTCCCCCCTCCCCCTCTGCCCCGGCCCCCATAGCGGCCGCCTTGATCGCCATGGTGATAGTTCCGCCACTGCTTACCTGCATCAACAATCCCGAGACCCAGAATTGTAGAAGGTCCTCCCTCGGGTGTCCATGTCACTGCATGGAGACATGAGCACTTCCCATTCGTTGTCTATCGGCGGAGTTCTCAGAAAACTCCAGCGATGACATGACGACGTAACAGCAAGGTGGAACACTCCTGGCACAGGCAATGCAGAGGGTCATATGGCGTCAGATTTGGGTAACATAAAGGGTGCTAAGGAAGGATTATTACTTTTAAAGGGATAGCAGTTCCAATACAGATAGACTGTATTTGTTTGTGCATTGCAAATTTTGCTCAGTATGTAAGTCGTGGTGACGACAACTTATTTCTAGGATGCTGCTCTCAGAGCAATCCAGTCTTTTTAGTGTCCTGCAAAGACAGGCAGTCCCGGGGAAAGGAACGCATCTTACTTGGTGTGGCAACCATTATGTGTCTGTTCCACCTCCTCACCCTGCTCTGCCAATAAACAAGTCCCCACAGGGATTCACTGACTCTCGCTTGCTGATCCTTGCTGATGCAGCTAGACTAGAGAAACTGGGCACACTCACTTGTCTGGATGCAATAACGCCTTCCTGGAACTCTTGTAATGCATCAAAATAATAGGGCTCATGATCAGCAGATCACATTATCTGGCTTAAAAAAAATAACAGATACATTTAGCTGTAACTTGGATGTGCACCAATAGCTTGGCATGTCTCAAAGTCATCCTCTAACAGCAATATGGTAGACTCATAGAACTTGGCAGACTCCTCCAGCACTCTGCAGCCAGATGCACTCTCACGTGTTCATCACTGCTTGGTCTCAACAGGGAGGTGGTTATAGTTTCGCTCTCCCTCCCCAATGTTTGCAGAATCTAAGCTGTCGCTAGGAAAACACGAGCAGTGCCTTGTTCCCCTAGGAAAAACCTCTTAAAGACCCCTTGCAAGTGCCCTCACCTTTCATTCATGATCAGCAGTGCCTCATACCTTAGTAGAGTTTCCATCAAATGTTGATGTCCGTCCACTCTGAAGATTGTCGCTTCTCTGCAGAACTTTTGCAAGCTGTGAATTAAACAAGAAAATGGACTTTATTGAACGATAATCCCAACCTTTGGCAGTCAGCTCCTTAACCAAAATGTCATCAGGCAGATTTAATTGTAGGCCCAAGCTAATTGAACAGTTGCAGGTCAGTGAGCATTTGTATGAACCACATAAACAAAAAATCTACTGTTTGCAAACTTCTTAAAAACAGCATCTATTGACATCTTCGCCAGCTAAGAGTTACCGCATCTGTCCGTGACTGGATGTTCTAAATTGTGTCATAAGAAATAGTCACATACAGCAGTTACGCAGTTAGTGAGACTTAAAAAAAGGCACATGGCCATCGAGTTCCACCTTAAGAGAAAAATAACTATGAAAAACCTGAATCCTTAGAGTCCTAGACCCGCAGTTGATCCAAAAAACTAGGGATTCACTGATACTGATACCGGTATTGCTGCTGATACTGGGCATTTTTACTCATACTCATGAAAATGCCCCGATACTAAAAGTCGATAGCGGCCCTTTAAAATTTTCAATAGATTTGGCTGCCATAAGGTCCTGTGCTTGCTGGTGACCTCACGGCAGCCTTCTGGGGACCTCACAGCTTACTGTTAACAGCACCGGCTGCACATCTCCTCCTCCTCCTTCCTGGGGAACCCTGCTGCTCGTTAGACCCCGCACAGCACTCGTGAGATCCCGTGCAGCCCTGGTGAGACCCTGCACAGCCCCCCTGAGAGCCCACACAGCCCTCCTGAGAGTCTCCACTGGAGACATCAGGCTGGCAACCCGGAGCAGCACAGAGTATGTAGCTTCATATTAATGCTGCATTGCTGTATAATGTATTGCTGGAATTTGTAGTCCTCTATGGCCAATACCATTCTGCATTGCTGTATAATGTATTGCTAAGATCTGTAGTCCTTCTACAGCTTGTAATCAGTTGCAGAACTGCCAGGGTTGCATCGGTTGCAGTTGCGACCGGGACCTGGCACTTCACCATTGTGCTAAAATCATTAGTCTCTATTGTTTTAGGTATCGGTAATTGGCATCGGTAAGTACTTGAGGAAAAGTATTGGTACTTGTACTTGGTCTGGAATTTTTTTTTATTTTGTGCATTTACAAACATACCCAGCCTTTTTTCAAAGAAACTAAGGAGTTGGCTAAAACAAGCCCCTGTGGAAGTCTATGCTACAGCTCTTACTATAAAGAATCCTTTTTGTATGCAAATATAAAATCTCTTTTCCTCCAGGTACAGATAATGCCCCCTTGTCTTTTACAAAGACCCTAAAGAGACCCTGTTACCAGCTTAAAAAATTGCAGGTAAAAGTAAAAAAAAAAAAAATCAGTATTTCAAATGCTTACTTGCAGTGTTTTTCTGTCCCATAAATAATTATTTTATTCACTTGCAATGTGACTCTAAACCTGCTGGGGAATTCACACTCCAGGAAGTGTCGATTCCCTAGCACAGCCCCCTTCCTCCTTGCACCTCATAGCCCCCTCCTCTTCTGGGAGTGTCTAATTTCTGTCTGTGCTGATCCAGCTCATCTCCTCACAGTGGCGTCACATGGGGGCTGTGGGGGAGGGTGCAGCCTACACCCGGGTGACACCATTGGAGGGGTGACACCAAAATGACTGGCAGTCATTTTGGTGTCACCCCCTCTAAAAAAGCGTACACTCTGTCATGGACTGAGAGCCCGACAGTTGCAGGAGAGAGGAGGGGAACCTGCCTTATCCCGCCCGGAGAACGTCCCCTCCTCTCTCTGCCGGCGTCCATCACCAAGATGGCCGCTGGCAGGTATCACCAAGATGGCCAGGCATGCACGATGATGCCACGGCGGGGTGTCACCAGGTACCTGCTCCAAGTGACACCCGGCCTCGGGACGGCCCTGTCCCCTTATTTCCCTGCATCACCTTTTATGCAGCAGTCAGGGAAGGGGAATAGGGGAATACTATAGAACAGAGGTAGGCAAACTCTTGCTCTCCAGCTGTGGTACAACTACAAATCCCATAAGGCATTGCAAGACTCTGACAAGCACAGGCATGACTCCCAGAAGCAGATGCATTATGGGATTTAGAGTTGCAGCACAACAGCCATCCACGGCCATCCACAACAGCTGGAAGGCTGGAGGTTGCCTACCCCTTCTACAGTGTATCAGTGACAGCTCTGAGTCTGCTGACAGAACATGCAAAATGGTGGCACCAAGCAGCAACCTCAGAGCTTGTGGATGTCTACAAAATGAAAGTTTTTACAGGTCAATAACATAAATAAAAATGTTAAGTGCTCATATGGTCTTATGGGAAGATTGTTACTGAAAGGAATGGTCTGGTTTAAAGTTACCAACATGGGAATTACTTTTAATATATGAATCATTTATATATTTTAATGTCCTATTTGTAGACTGGTGATCAAAACTGAACTGTATTTTCAAGATGGGGTATGACTAATGCTTTACACTGGAGCAAGATAATGCAAGTCTTTAGCCCTATAACTTTACAATTATTAACGATAGCCCTGATAGCTGCCCGGTCACGCAGGACATTCTGGCCAGCTTATCAGAAATATCTAGTTCCACTCCATTATTCTACTCCGTAGCAGGGGTAGGCAACCTTGGCTCTCCTGCTGTGGTGAAATCAAATCCCATCATGGTTCTGCCTCTGGAGGTCACGCCTGTGGTTGTCAGAGTCTTGCAATGAGTCATGGGACTTGTAGTTCCACAAGAGCTGGAATGCCGAGGTTGATCAGCTGGCTTTTAGAACTACATATTGCCTAATAGCTGCCCCTAGTGGCGTCACAAGGGGAGTGTGGGGGGTGCGGCCCGCACCCGGCTGTCACCATTGGAGAAGTGACAGTCATTTTGGTGTCACCCCTATGAAAAGTCGGGCACTCGGTCATGGACGGTCAGGAGAAAGGAGGTGACCCGTCCCATACACCATCCCGCCGGGTGAACGCCCCCCCGACAGGCGTCAATAAGATGACGTCATCGTGCATGCACCTGGCAACGTCATGTGCAATGACGTAACAGTGAGGTGTCACTGGTCTCCGCTCCGGGGGTCACCCAGCCTCGGGACCCCCCTGGCTGCCCCCCTTAAGTTTCTATTTCAGACTACTCATACACTTAAGACAAGTATTTACTAGACTCGGGGCTGATTGCTCATATGAAAGATCGCTATATCATAAAATGCTGAACCCCCCCCAAAAAAAATCTATGCTATGCTCGAATAAATAAATGTATGCACCGGGTTACAGGAAATGAGCAACTGCATAGTGTGATATTGTTTCATTTTTTAGCGCTGAACTCCAGGCTAATGACTAAATATGCATTTAAGGGCTGCGTGCAGTATTTTTTCTGACTGCACAGGTACCGAAATGCAGGTACTGATGTGCCACGTGGTCAGGTGTGGGTGATCGCACTGTGGCCGGGGGGGGGGGCGTGGCTGCACTGCCATTGACTTCAATGTACCGCCACGCCCCCTCCCGCCCCAAAACAAAGTGAGCCGGCTGGAATGCGGTCCAGTCCGTTCCGGCACAAATCGGGCTGGAACGCACTGTGGCTGGTGTGAACTAGCCCTAAAATAAATATAGTATACTTGACCGGTATGGCCTGCCTAAAGATTTGTAGAAGCACAAAAATCTTTCTTAGACAAAAGACCTAAATTAAAAAGTATTGTTATACGTAGATATATTGTTTTTTTTTACTATGTTCAGTACTAAAACACAAAATAAACAAACCCATTTCCTTTAGTTACAAACATATCCTTTTTTACATATAAATATTTCCTATTTACCAACTGCAGACGAAGGACAGGAGGGATCAGATTACACAGACTGCTGAATTTTTCAGATACTCCTTGTGTTACATTGGAAACAGCACCTTCTCCTTTATCTATAACAGGCGTCCTTTAATGGTGGACCGTGGTCCAGACACCAAGGCTAGCGCATCGACTGCCAGTTATAACTAAGCACAGGTCACCACTCCTCCTCAGTCATTGGTTGTTAGGACCGCTGGTATCCTAACCACCAATGATGTCCGGTGTCCTCCTCCTCTGCAGTCATTCTTTTCTGGCAACCAATGACAGCAAGAGTGTCCCCGTCCCAGTATTACAGGAGGAGAGAAGAGCATCGTCTTCTGTCCTCTGCTGCAGCCTGCTCCATCTCCCATCTCCTACCCCTGACCTACCCCTGACCTACTAACTAATCTAAGGTATGTGAGGACAGTAATATAAAGGGGCACTCTAAAGGGCACAACCAATGTAAGAGAGCACTCTGATGGGAATACCTAACGTAAGGAGGAAATCTGATGGGGACACCTAATGTAAGGAGGAACTCTGATGGGGACACCTAATATAAGGAGGAACTCTGATGGGGACAACTAATGTAAGGGTGCACTCGGATGGGGAAAATTAGTGTAAGGGGGGCACTCTGATGGGGACAATTAATGTAAGGGAGCACTCTGATGGGGAAAAATAATGTAAGGGGGCACTCTGATGGGGACAATTAATGTAAGAGGGGACTGCAGACAATTAATGTAAGGGGGCACATTGATGGGGACAGTTAATGTAAGGGGGACTCTGATAGGGACAACTGATGTAAGTTGGCACTCTTATTGTGATATCTAACGCAAGGGGACACTCGGATGGGGACAACTAATGTAAGAGGTCATTGAGGGGACATGAGGATCTCTGCTTGAAGAAAATGTTAACTGTCAAAACAATTAACTGAGCAGCAGAGTAGCAGATTGAGACAGAACGAACTCTATAACAGGGGTCACTAAGGCTTCATTCATGCCAGATGCATTGCCTTTTCTTGCACAGCCCCAGTGCTAGACAAGGTAATTTGCCTGGTTATGAATGGGCTCAGTTCACACCACAGTTGTGTTGGTGTGCAGGGAAAAAAAAGAACTGCATGCAGTACTTTTTGTAGCGCAGCAGACCACGATGAGGTACAACAGTATCGCACTGGGCTGTGCCCAAAGAACCTAATGAAATGTCAATCGTCCTACCAAAAAAAAAGGTAAACAGTGGGATGCCCCTGTGCTGTAGTGCAGCTACTGGTGTGAATGCAGCCTAATGACGGACTGCGGTCTGGACAAGGACCGAGTGACAGTTCTGTATGGACTGAGATTCGGACATCTTCTCGAAGAAAGTTTTACTCAGCGGGCCTCCTTGAATTTTAATTCACTACCCCTGTAAGGCTTTACCTGCAGCCCAGGTTATGGCTGATTCTAATTAAAGGGCACGTCTATATTTGTATATCCGGTGAAATCAGAATGCGCTCAGAAGATGTTATTTCAAGCTAAACATGTGTTAGTCTCAGAAAGGCTGTAGGAAGATTATTTGTACAAATGATCTTTTGTAAACAAACAAATCGATCTGCAGAGATGTTTTTTTTGCATTTTTTGTTATTGGATGAATTATCTTTTTGTGTTTCTGTTTATTAAACATAAACTCGGCATATTTAGAAAACACCAGATGATACAGATATGCTTTCAATAAAATCCATTAAGTGAATTTTTAAAAGCACTTATTGTAAGTACCTAAATCCAGCTCAATGGCAGTCTCTTGTAATTCCTGCACAACAGAGCTCTGACTGAGAGAGAGGGAAGCAGCAGAAGAAGGCAATCAGATGTGCTGTAATACTGATGTGCTGAAAAAGATTATGCTGATAGGAGGAGAGATCACAGTAAGAAGATGGATGAACCTATCAGTGTCTTCCTTTTATTTTAAAGTCCAGTCACAGGCTAAGGGGGCAGACAAGGCCTTGATGTACCAGTGATGTCACTGGTGTCCAGGAGCTGGATGGGACGCCGGCCAAAGGACCCCAGGCAGCTTATCAACCTGGGATGCTGGCCAGAAAGGAGGTGGCAGGCACACTACTAACATTGTGCAGCAGAGTGGCCATGCCTCTCTGCCTGGCGCCCTCCCCCCCCCACACATGAACCAAAGAAATTCCATGCCGGAAGCAACAACTTTAGTCTGCCTCATTAAAGGGACGGCCCTTTGTGCAGACATACCGGAACCAAAAAATAAATGATCAATTCTCTATTATTTGGGAATGCCAAAGCGTATTTTTCTTTGACAGTCCCAGATAATAGAGGATAATAAACATATTTTAATTTGACAGTCTCAGATAACAGTGCAGTCTGGGCTGGATAGGAAATTTCAGACACTGGAGATTCCCAGCTTGGCAGAAGCCCGTCTATCAATGTTCTCAGAGGCCAATCCCCACTTGATGGTGCCAGACAATGGGTAGGATCAGAGGGCATGAGTTTTTTGGGTTTGCTGTTTAAGAGTCCATCCTGAACCAGGCATGCAGTAGGCTGACTTGGAACAGTGACCTGAGCAAAGCCAGAGAAAGGAATCTTCAGCCATAACTGTCTGCTTAGAAACCTGAAAATGTACATGAATTTTTGTAGGTACCTGGCTCACCTTCTCGCTCTCTCTAGGGTTGCCACCTTTTCTTCAAGTAAAACCCGAACACTCTAGACATTTTTTTGGGCTAATGAGTCGCGACTTATTCAGATGTAAATAGCGCCACCCATTCATTTGTAAATATCACAGTCAAGACTATTTTCAGTGGGGGGCCAGTAGCCCCTATCTTAATTTTGGTTGCCCCCTGTCTGCCTGACATCTTGTGTCCGGGTTTCTGCTTCAATGATACCCGGACACAGCATTCAAAACCCGAACTGTCCGGGTGAATCCTGGACAGGTGGCAACCCTAGCTCTCTCCACAATATTCCATGTTTAAGGGAGTCACAAAAAAACCTCCTGGCTACCTCTAATTTTGCACCACATTACTGATGCACTGACTGTATGAAACAGCAGCCAGGTTACCATTTGGCTTTGAGTAGGGCTATTTCTGTGTAACTGTCCCTGCTACAGGGTAGGGTTGTTGGTGTTCATGTCAGAACTGCTTTTCTCTCCATACAAGGCAATAGTAATACCAAAGCATCGTGGAGCAGCTTAAAAGGAGGTCAACTGCAAGTCAGACGGAACAATACTGCATGTCAGAGACTCCTGCGAAGGAACTTAGATGGAGCTCATAACTGTCTCAAAGTGATCTCAAAATCCAATTGAATACAACTGAGAGCACACTGTAATTGCGCATCAATACAAAACCTTAGGCCTCAATCACACTTGGAATAGATCATTATTTATTAAAGGGTATTTATGTAGCACCAACAATTTTTTGCAATGTTTTGCAAAGTGTACATTCACATCAGTTCTCAAGGAGCTTGCAATCTAAGGTCCCTATCTCACATGCATACATACAGGGCCGAGTTAGAAAGAAGTACCTGTACTTGCCCAAATGCTCTGATAGGTACCCTGATACCTGAACTTCTGGTCAGAGGGAGATTCCCTCTCACCAGCAGTGCTGTGAAGGAGCATGGAGCCAGCTTCCTGGCCAATTAGGAAACCGGGCGGCGTGGCATCACCCGCCTCCCGGCTTCCAGATTGGCTAGGAAGCCGGCTTCACGCTGCCTAGGGACACTGCGTGGCAGCCTGGCCTCCTGACCAATCAGGAAGCCGGGCAGCAGGACATGACCCGCCATCCGTTTCCTGATTGGTCAGGAAGCCAGGCTGTCTCGCAGCTTCCTAATTAAATCGGCCCACGGTACCTCAGGATACCAGTATCGGTATTCAGTATAACTGAGTTCGAAAAAAATATTGGTACTTGTACGGGGTATCGAAAAAATGGTATTGGTGAATCCCTAAAAGAAGCCAGTTAACCTGCCAGCATGTCTTTTGATTCTGGGAGGAAACTGTCTATCTTGCAGTACCGGGGATCCGTACGATCCGGCAGGTCTTGCCACAGGAATCCAAGATAACAGTAGAATTCCCCATGTGAATATAGTCTTATGCTTCCCAAATCACTTTTCCTGCTTTTAGATGGGCTTGCTTAAAGCCACATTTAGACATGCTTAGACGCGCTTACACACATTTGCATGCTGCGTTTAGAGTTTTGATCGTGGACGCGCAGAATTCTATTTTCTCTAAACACAGCTAAACTGAATGCAGATGAACACAGGTAAACACAAATTCTGAATGGTACCATTGAAAACCAATTACATGCATTGATATGCATTTAGAAATGTGCTCTAAAAGGTACACAAACGCAGGTCTCACACTGCCGGTGTGAATGAGGCCTTACACATCGTATTTACACACTTTATTATTTTGTTGATCTGCTCTGCTAACAGCTTTGCTTCCCTACTTCATCCACAACTCAAAAAGGAAAGTTTTTCCATAACATAAGCTGGAAAAAACTGTCGTAAAAGAAACTTGGATCCTGCCACTACCGAGCCCTCATAAAGGCATTGCTAGTTGCCTGGTTGTCATGCTGATCCTCTTGCTTCAATACTTCAAGACAGTGACCTGTGGCAAGTATGCACATAAAGAGTTCTGACTTCTCCAGCTTACTCCATCTAATAACGTGTTTTCCTGGTCAGTGACTCAGAAATTATTAACGCTTGTAAATCAGTATAACAGCCAGCCAACTGGCATTTTCAGAAGGAGGTGAGCAATGGCCGCCTCTTGTCAGTACAGATTTACTTGAATAAGCTTAATTTTCTGAAATGCAAGAACTGTACCTTACCTGCATTTGTATCGGCTTCTTGCAGTCCCTGTACAGCACAGCTCAGAGTGGGAGAGTGAAAAGCAGCACAAGGAACCATTCAGTTGTGCTGCTGTGCTTACTGTACATGCTAACAAGGAACATGCTGATAGGGGAGAGCAGAGTGTCAGAGATGAGCTCATCAGTCTGCTGCTTTTCCTTTCACTGTCCAGTCACAGACAAGGGGAGGGGCAAGACCTGTAAGAGTTACTTAACTGCAGCAGAGAAAAGTCATGTCTCCTGCCTTGTTAATATGGGCTGTGTTAAAATATCCTAGATATATAAAAACCACTGGTCAAGCCAAGATGCATAGCTGAGTGAATACACTTTCTTACATTGTCTGTCATCAGTATACAGTGAACTCGGCATTTAGTAACAATGGTTGTCTCACTCACCTTGTTTGGTGGCACTTGTCCTTGGGTCACACGTGCTCTGTGCTGTTTTTGTGCTTGGTGACATCTCCTCTTCAGTAGTGAAATCCGTGGTTAATGGAAGTTCTTCTGGCGCTCCTGCCAGCTTAGCGCAGGAGTTGGCACAGGCCATGCCTTGCTGCCCATTGGTTTGGGAATAAACATTGCTGACCCTGGCTTTGCCCTCTTCCTCCTGGCCGCTGTACACTTTGTATCGGATCATCAGGATGATGATGAAGACCAGAACAGAAGCCACAATGATCCCTCCAATGATGATGATCATGGTGCCCCCCAGAAACTGGGTGTGGATTGGCTGACACTGAGTACTTTCCTCTTTAGTGTTGAACTGGACACATCCCACCATTCGTGTAGCTGTCAGAGAGGTTATCCCGTCATCGTAGACAGCCAGCACACAGAGGTCATACTCACGGCCTGGAGCCAAGTCATTGACCAGAAAGCTTCTGTTACTTGGAGGGATCATTCTGAAGAGTGGAGAAGACAAGGTTAGAACAAACATGGCGGTGTAAGAGAGGCAGGATGGAACTCCTAAGGGCTAGTTCACACCAAACGCGTTCCAGGAGCAGAGCAGAGCAGTTACAGAACGGATAAAAACTGCGTCCAATGTATTCCGATGGTATTTTGGGCTCTAGTTCACACCGCAGCGTTCAGTTCCAGAGCATGTAAAAAAACTGCATCAATTTTTTTCCTGCTCTGAAACGTATGCAAACGTGGCATAACACACTGCACTGCGTGTGCAGAAACTCTGGTCTGCATTTGGTGTGAACAACCAAAAGAGTACCATTAGGTTTCAGTACTGACGGAAAAGGGACACAGTCATGTTATTACCAATTACAGAGAAGATAATAAACATAAATAAATTGTGCCACGCTCTCAGATTTACTTTGTATCTAAATCCAATATATGAAACCTAGCATTTGATATGTGGCAATCAATTTGTATCAAACCTATAGTGCCTCAAATAATGCAACAAAAATGATCCATTCAAATGTGGTGATAAAGTTGAATACTTAAATAAGGTGATATTAGTCCACTTTAGTCACACATACACAATGCATATGAACGACCACTTGAGCTAAAGATAGCATGCAGCATCAAGTGAATTGTGCACCCAGCACAGAGGTGAATGTAATTAGCCAGTAATTAAATAATTCCTTCCTGCTCCTTGTGATCTCCACCTTCCACTCCCAACAGAATAACTCTCATCTCTACATATGACCTTACATTTTAAAGGTCTGGAAATGCCACTTCCCTTTTCAATCTCATGTGGGAAGACACACTGAGGGGAATTTATCAAAACTGGAACTGGCACAATCTGGAGCAGCTGTGCAGGGCAACCAATCAGCTTCTCTATTTCATTTTCAAATCTTAACTGAACAAACTGAAGAGAGAAGCTGATTGGATGTCATGGACAGCTGCTCCAGATTTTGATACATTTCCCAGCTGTGTTTAGATGATGATTCTCCACTATAAAGACGTAATTCTTCAGTGGTGGAAACAGTCCCAATCAATATCAGTGAATTTTAGCAAATGGAGACAAAAGCAGAACACTCCATAGTGTACTCTGTAAAATCATATAAAGTTTAATATAATAAAATGTACTCACAAACATAAACATATGATAATATGTTTCCATATGCTTCCAAGGAGGTAGATGTCTACCAAAGTTCCCCACACACCTTGCGATAATCGTATGACAATCGCGGGAAATCCCGCGATCGTAAGATTATCATAAGGTGTGTGGAAGCCGTGCGACCTCATCGGCATCCTCCGTTGTCTCCCTATAGATGGCTGACAAGGGGCGTTCCCAATGTCGGAATCGCTCCAATAGCGCGTGTCCTTCGGCACATGCGCAGTAAACACTGAGGATCGGTCTACACACAGAAGACGTCAGACAGCGGTGTTTCCACTGTCTGACAGCGTCCCCGTCACCATGACAACCCGGTTTTCAGCCCCTCGGTCAGATCTCACATAAAACTACACACATAACAACACAACATCAACGAACTATGAACCATATGACCATTGCATTTTGGTGGGTCCTGACACAGCATTTGAATATGACATTTCAGCAATGTTAACCTTTTGTTCTGGCGGGAATTAGGACGTCATTATGACGTCTATGAGGTGGTCTCATGTGGTAATCAGTCTTTTGTGTGTGTATATATAATGGTGATGGTGTAAACTTTGCAATGTTCACTTTAAGCCTGATGAAGGGGACCCTGTGTGGCCCCGAAAGCGCTTGTTTCCACTTTAAGTGACTTCAAAAATAAAAATGAAGATTCACTAAAACCTTGACGTATTCTGTCATATTTGGAGTGCTGATGACATCTATATACAACGATTTTATTGATACGGCGCCATCCGTAGTCATTGCGAGCAACCATTTTTCCACATGGAAAGTCCGGTAAGGTGTGCTACAGGTCCTTGGACATCTCTACTACTGTAAGGTCGCACGACTTTTAACTTACGAACATGTATGATGCTCGGCGGGTGTGTAGCATGTTCGTACGATAAAAGCCGGACGGGCCGGTGTGCGCAAGCGCACACTGCCCGTTCGCATTGCGGTCATCGGAAGCCCGTCCCTCGGGGTGGCGCGGCTTGCGATCATCGCAAGTACGATCTGCCTGTCCAAGATAGGCAGATCGTACATTTTTTTTAAGTACCTTACAACCATCGCAAGACAAAAGTCTTGCGATGGTTGTAAGGTGTGTGCCCAGCCTAATACATGTAACAGCGCTGCCGTCTTTCGGTTCAAACCCAATCTCCTCCCTGCGTACGTTACGTCGATAGGACACGTGACTTCATCAGGTGTGTCACGTGTCCTACAGACTATTATTATTATTACATAGTGTTTATATAGCACCAACAGTTTGTGCAGCGCTTTACAATGTAAGGAAGATATTACAATCACAATAAAATTCAAGACAAGATGGTAAGGAGGGCCCTGCCCCTGAGCGCTTACAATCTAAAAGGGGAGGGGGAAGTGATACATGAGGAGGTAGCTGTGTGGGGATGAACGTGATGGTTCAGTCGTTAGGTTGAGGTGGGATAGGCTTCCCTGAAGAGATGAGTCTTTAGGGAACGCCTAAAGGCAGTCAAGGTGAGAGATGGACAGACAGGTTGGGGTAAAGAGTTCCAGAGGATGGTAGAGACTCTAGAGAAGTCCTGGAGGCGAGTATGGGAGGAGTTGACAAGGGAACTGGAAAGCAGGAGGTTAAAAGAGGACGTTTTATCATCGTCTTAACACCGGCTGTCTTCCCGCCTCAGATTGACTTACAGAAATGCATGTTTTCATATATTATTAATTATGCATTTCTTTAATTTTTCAAAAGGTGATCTTATTCTTTAACTCCTAAAATGTTACTCTTTATTCACAAAATTGTTTAAAATCCCCTTAAACAGGAGAAAATCTACAATGAAACTATAATGTATGCTTTTCCAGCATAGCAGTTAGGATTAGTTTGGTAAGTTTGCAATGACGAGCCTAGAACTGCATCATCAATATATAATATTCTCTTTTTTTATATATATTTTATATTTGCCAGAATAAAAAATACAATTAAAAACCTCTATATATAAGTCTCTATAAGTGGAATTGTTTTTGTGCTGAACATTGTGAATTAAGTAGACATATACGGTACATAAACAGTGTGCATTGGCTTCAACAGGAGAGGCAGCCAGCGATGATGTGGAATGTTACAGCTGATACAGGTAGTCAGATGTGTGCTAAGAGGGAACGATGTGAACTAACAGGATTGGGCAGGTGAAGCTTATAGGAAAGTAGGTCATGAAGAAGCCTTCTGCCTGCTGTCAATCAAACAATCATTGTGTTGGGTTATTTGAGTTCATTAAAGAGGAGCTTGCATAGCAGAAATAGGAGATTTGCCACTGACTAGGTGTTTCTAAAGGAACGTGCTCTGAATCTGTCATCATTATCCTTCTTTTACAAGGTTTTCAGCTGTCCAGACATTTGAGATGCACATACTTGTCCCAGGCCAGTAACTCATTAAAGTGAAACTAAAGCCAGAACTTTTTTTAGTTTTGGATAAAGCAGAGAGGGATGAGAACACCTGTCAGGCAATTGCTATCTATGTCCCTGCTAGGGAGATTCACCCCAGGGGCGTCCCGAGGCTGGGTGACACCCGGAGCGGTTACCCAGTTTCACCCCGCCGAGATGTCACCGCGCGTGTGCGTGTGACGTCACCACACGGCGCTCTTCTGATGCCTGCCGGCGGCCATCTTGGTGATGGACGCCGGCAGAGAGAGGAGGGGACAGTCACCCGGCAGGATAAGGTATGCCGTCGTCTCCCGTTACCCTAAGGAGAACTATGGGGAAAAACACTGACCCCCATAGTTCTCCTTTAAGCTAGGTATACATAGTTAGAAACTTGTTTGAAAAAATTTGTTTTTTTGGAACGTTTGTTCAATTTTCGAATAAATAATGGAGTCAAAAAGACAATTGTTTTTGACTGTAGCGATAAAAAAAATTAAAGGGGCAGGATGGAAATTTGTTTAATGAATGAGAGTCTAACGGTTAATGTGGTTTTCGTTCAGCAAACTCCAATAATTTCCATAATCAGATTTCAAAACCAAATTCATCAAGTTTCTGAGGGCATTATAAAATGTTCTGTTGAGACTCTTTTAAATGAACGTTTGTAGAAAAATCTACCAGTGTATGACCAGATTTAGGTAGAGAAGGATGAGTGCCTTGGGGATAGGAGCATGGTTGGGGCAAGTAGACTCTCCCCCATCTGTATCACCTCTGCCTTCTCCTACACTGTGCAGGACTGAGTTGTCAACCTGACAGCTCAGTCCTGCAAATTACACTGGAAGATCACAGTTCTGCAAACCGCTGTCAATGTGACAGGTGCCCATTATATATCAGGAGAAATGTTGGTTATGTGTTTAGCTGAAGCACGAGATCTCAAGAAATGCTGAATTAAGTTTTACTTGCTTAGAAGAACTCGGCACGAGGCGCTTGTGAACACGCCCGAGCCCATCACTACTCCTGATCAACAGAGCCCAGTGGCACCTACCAAAAGTGTCAGCATAGCTCTTGAGACCACAGCGATGGAGCCATTATCCCCAGTGTAATATGTAGTGCTGGGCTGTGTACAGTGTGATGACGCACTTTATGAGCCGAATGATGAAGCAGTTCCTACTGTGAGCTTTACAAGATAACTGCTGCTCCTGGAAAATGATATGAACTTACCTAAATAAAATGCTAAATGCCATGCCATCATCACATCTAATCTGTCACTGACGGCAATGCCTGCTCTGACTCTGAATAAGGGAGCATTTTACTCAGGGCCTCCAGTCCATCATATCTTATCTGTGCCGGCCTGGGGAGGCAAATGCCACCCATGTTTCTTTGCCCAGTCCTCCCCTGCTTTAAACAAACCACAACAACTTACTTGTCAAAAGTAAGACTGAGAGGAAGATGTCTGCGTTTCCCCAAAGC